TGCGTACACGACTTTAAGGTAGCACTTACGTAACATTTTTCTTGGCAATGTGCAGATGTTGCTATTGGATTCAATTGTTGCATTCTATGCCGAAGATTCGTGATAAATTGTGTGTCATACGGAGATATCTTAGATGACGTTATCATATCACTAGGCAGCTTGAGAGTTGTGCCGTACACCAGTTCAGCACAAGATGACTGTAGATCTTCCTTTACGGCTGTCCGAATACCAAGCATAACAACTGGTAGTGTTTCAGTCCAGTTATTGGTCTCGTGAGCCTTGAGAGAAGATTTTAAATGTCGATGAAATCGTTCAACAATGCCGTTTGGACATTGGATGATAGGCTGTTGTTGTGATTCTGTTCGTACCCAAAATGCGCGTGAATTCTGCAAAAAGTGCGGATCTCATTTGAGAACCTTGGTCTGTTGTTATGATCGATGGGCAGCCAAAACGAGATATCCAACAGTTGAAGATGGCTCTGCAAATGGTTTCCGTTTTCATATCCGGGATGGGAATGGCTTCAGGCCATCTGGAGAATCTATCTATTAGAGTCAAAAGGTACACATTGCCTTCTGATGGAGGTAACGGTCCGACGATATCCATATGGATTTCTGAAAAACGTGCATCAGGAAGAGAGAATGTGCCCAGTGGTGCTTTAGTATGCCTAGTAATTTTCGATTTTTGGCAAGATTCACAGGATTTCACCCAATTTTTGATATGACGTTTCATATCGGGCCATACATAACGAGAACAAATAAGCTTCGTAGTAGCTGCAATTCCTGGATGTGACAGATTATGCAGATGATTAAAGATGAGTCTGCGAAAGGAATTCGGAACAAATGGACGAGGAATGTCTGTTGATATGTCACAAAGAATATTACCATCAGAATATTGGCACGGTTTAAATTCCAGTTTCAAAGATGATGTGTTGTTTTTTGAGAAGGTCTTGTACCTCCGGATCATGCCGTTGAGCTTCCGAAAATTTTTTAAAATCCAAAAATGGAGATTTTGTTATGGAATCAATTTCGATTCTTGAAAGAGCGTCAGCAACGACGTTTTTTGAACCTTGCACATGCCTAATATCAGTAGAGTACTGAGAAATAAAATCTAAATGGTCGCAATTGTCGAGGTGAACATTTATGAGGGTTCTGTTTAAAAGCGTATATATTAACGGTTTTTGATCCGTATAAATTATAAAATTTCTGCCCTCTAACATGTGTCGGAATTTCTTAATTGCAGAATAAATAGAAAATAATTCCCTATCGTACGCGGACCATTTCTGTTGACTTTTATTGAGTTTCATAGAGAAAAATGCTATAGGTTCCCATGTTTGTTGAGACAACTGCATAAGTGTGCCGCCGATTGCGACGTCTGAGGCATCTACCCAGATGCTTAGCTGGGCTCCGGGAATAGGGTGTCTCAAAAGGGTAGCCTGAGCAATGGCATTTTTGGCAGCAATAAAGGCTTGTTCAGCATTCTCGTTCCAATTTAATTGTGGGGATGAATCCTGAACACGAGAACGAGATTTCTTTTTATTAATATAGCCTTCTAACAATTTTATTAAAGGAGAAAGAATATGTGCTGCTTTAGGTATGAAACATCTATAAAAGTTAAACATGCCTAAAAATCGGCGAAGCTGAGTGAGAGTGGTAGGTTGAGGAAAATCTAAAATACATTTGACTTTGTCAGGAAGAGGTTCAATTCCGTTTTCACTAAGGTGAAAACCTAAGAAATCAATAGATGTTTGACCAAAGGTGCATTTTGAAACATTTATGCAAAGTCCATATTCCTGAAGTTTGGAAAATAAAGCTTTCAAATGCCTGCAATGTTCCTCAGAATCTTTAGAGGCTATGAGCAAGTCATCGACAAAAGCGTAAACGCCTTCTAAATCCCGCGTGACTTCATCTATAAAACGTTGAAAAGTCGCAGATGCATTGCATAAGCCGAATTGCATACGGATACTTTCGAATAAACCGAATGGTGTGCATATGGCGGTTTTGTGGATGTCGGCTGGGTTAATTGGTATTTGATGGTATGCCTTAATCAGGTCGACATGACTAAAAATTTTAGTACCGTGCAATGCAGCAGTAAAATCGGCTAAAACATGGAATAGGGTATTTGTCTTTTATTGTTTGAGCGTTCAATGCTCGATAATCTCCTACAGGTCTCCATTCCAGACTTCCCTTTTTTGGAACCATGTGAAGTGGGGATGCATAATTGCTGCTCGAAGGTCTCAAATGCCCCAATTGCATCATAGTTTGAAATTCTTGTTTTGCTATTTTTAAGCGATCTGGAGCTAACCGACGAGGTTTTGCAACCACAGGTGGACCTTTAGTTATGATATAATGAACGGTGTTGTTGTTTAACAGGTTGGTTAGGATCTGGTAATCTAGTAACTGAAGGAAATTCTTTTAAAATTTTGTGATATGGTGTATCACTAAATACAGTTTTTACTGAATAAATGCTTGCATTTTTCACGCAACCGACGGTTTTAAAATGCGTTTTTAAATCTTTGAGACATTTGTTTCTGAGATCAGGCACCAATTCAAAGAAATGGAGAAAATCTGCTCCAAGAATGGGTGTACTAACATTTGCTATAAGAAAAGTCCATGTAAACTGTCGTCTTAATTTGAAATCCAAAGAAAGTGTTTTTTTGACCATAAACATGAATAGTAGAAGAATTAGCAGCGAAAAGTGTTTGTTGGGACGAATTCCGTTTTTGAGAATTATTTGCTGGAAGTAAGGACACGTCAGAGCCGGTATCGACCAAGAATGAAAGGTTTGTTCTACGGTCACGAACGAACAGGCGACGTGAAACTTGAGGCAAAGAATAAGTCGCCTCTATTCTTTGCTGGTTTCGTTTCCCTGCCATGAACAAGGTTTTGTACATTTGTCATCTCTACACTTTTTCCCAAAACGTCTATGATACCAGCAAACAGAATAATCTCTCCTTTTGGAATTGCTTCTTTCCTTATTGCGATCTCCGCGATTTGGCGAGCGACCACGAGAAAGAGAAATGCGATCAATACGTTTGTTTAATTTTTCTATTTGTTTAAATAATTTATCCTCAAGAGACTGATCGACTGTGCGAGAAACGGCACAAGTCCCTGGGGTTGGATTTACTTCTAAAATTCTGTCGGCAATTTCTGCAGCTTTATCTACAGTTAAATTGGAAACCGCTGCCAAAATAGACTGAACAGTCGAAGGCAAACGTTGAAGGAATAATTCTAACATTAAGTTATCAGGAACATTTAAAGATTCTGCTCGACGTTTCATATTTCTAAGCAAATCGGAAGGTTTTCGAGAACCTAATTCTTCTCCAGATAATAATTGGCGAATTTCTTGCTGAGAAGATTCTCCTGAACGATTTATTAACTCAGTTTTAAGCTTTGCATATGGATCAATAGGGTCTGGTTTCATAAGTAAATCCCGTACTAGTGATGCGATATCTGGAGGAAGATGAGAAACTACATAATTATATTTAGTAATGGATTCTGTGATAGGTTTGGGGGTGGCAAGAGCAAAGGTACTTTCACACATAATAAACCATAAAGATGGGTCTGATGGGTTATAAACCGGAATTTGGACGGCATGAACATCAGACATTGTGCAAGGTTTTTTAAGCCAAAATAAAAGCAAAAATTTAACTAAAGAAAATGAAATTAAATGATAAGTAGAAAACAGAATTATAAAATGATCTATAATTACTACTCATCCGTGATCCGGAGGACGAAAACCGATGTAATCCATTACTTCTGGTTTGGAGATCTTGAGTGATGGCTTGTAGTCAAAACCGAAAGTGCTTGAGAACTGTTCATACGATTTAACACAGTCAGGGTTACCATTATGGTGATTTCCGGTTATGTTTTACCACCAATCCTCGAATTCCATATCACAGATTATGTTCTTACTGCATTAATATAAATATTAACAAGACATAGTGCACAATAAAAATTAAGCTTTATTTCGGAACTTCGCGCACACTGCCCGACAGCCTGCCTGTTTCGCTCTGCTCGCTACTCGTAAGAAACTTCTCCTCTAGGGTTGCCACACTTATCGGAGGGCGCAAGGCGCGCTCCTTATCGCCATCACCACAGATAAAACTTTATAATGCGTAAATAGTGTTTGGCTAAGCAATCTGTATTCAATGCAATTCATAGCGCTACTGATATTTAAGATGTATTTTATAATTTCATAGAAAAGGAGACCATTAACAAGATGCTTCGTCAGCAATGTCAAGAAATAGCACTTCTCTTACTGTGAAATAATGTCTGCCCAGTTTTCATGAATTAGCGGTTTATTTTACAGAAAAGTGCTTTTAAAAGTGATATAACTGTAAAATTTAAGTTCTTCTTTTATAAAATGAACTGCTTGATAATTAAATAACCTTCCTTTCATTTATTGCTTGTTATATGGAGATTGTTTGGTATCAAAATTGTTCGTTAGTCAGATTAATTTTTACTTTCTAATCCTAGGCATTAATTTCTCCTCATTTATGGTAAAAATAAGATAAAGTGATAAGATACTTTTAAAAATCGAAAATACTTATAATATCGTTTATTTGACTTTATCAATTGGAGTTATCATTCTGTTTTTTTATGTATTATTGTTTTGTTTCTTAACTTTTATATCTTATAAAAAGTGTTTATTGTCAAATGACTTCGATATTCGTCTAACGACCAAAATACTGCTAAACGGTTATCTACTGCTAAACGGTTATTTTTTCGCAAATATGTCAAATTATTCCATTGCTTCGCCTGTTTCAGCGCTAAAATGATCTCGAGCTCAAGCTTTTGGCGCACAAAAATGCTGCAGAGAATTCTTTTCGTCACTGTATGACATCAGAAGTCGTGTCGAATAAGAGCTTAGGATGGCGGCTGGGGCCAGGCGCTTGTGTTATCCGCCTGTGTGTTTGTCAGTCTGTCTCATTTTCCCATTACTCTTTCTCTATAAACGTCATGCGCAGGACTTCAACATTTGAGCCGGATACGTGACACGACATTGTTAGTTCTTGATAGAGTACCTCTGGCAACGACTGGTAATAACGCCAAAGTCCTGCATTGAAAAGCGGTAATAGAGTGCTGTATTTGAAGACAATTTTTTTTGGTAGAATTTGACTCGGTATTTCTCGTAATATCATAATTTTGAAATGGCAAGTGACGGGCAACAGTATAACGAACAAAATTTTGCCGAAGACCAGCAGTATTCAGAGTACAATGAGCAGAATTACAGCGAGCAAATGGAGCAAGGAGGTGAATCCGGTGAACAAAATCAAGAAGTTAATGGTACAGCTAATGATCCAGTGCCGCCCAAATCACCATCTGATGAAGACAGGTATAAGTTACTATAATTTTTACTTGCAAACCAAAAATATGAAATAAATCTTTTGAAAAGGCACAGTGGCCATTTTGCTGTTAATATTGGCCATTGTCTTAACGGCGCCATTTTTTCTGAGCAACGTTATCCGTTTACATCCATAAGAAAATATAATTTAACGTAATTTGTTTTAAAAAAAATTGTTACTCCTTTACAAGCGTATATTAAAATTAAGAATATTCTTTATTTATGCGGGTTTTGTTAGCTATCCTAAACATATTGACGTGTCGTTATAAGTGAGCTGTAAGAAAAATGCATGAATTAAAGAATGGTATATAAATATTTCAGAATGCATTTATGAAATAATCAAAGCTCTCAAATTGTTACTAATCGTAAGGTGTTTTTCGGTAATTTTTTTTCTTATCTTTATGAATTTGATCTCAACCGTTTTCTTAATACCTAACTATGATCGATTTTTTGTTTAAAAGTTAAATGTGCCATTTCCGTAGTAATATTTGTGTAATACGAATGATTTTTGTGTTAATTTCTGAAAAATATATTTGTATTAAGATCGTATTTATAATATTGTTTTGTATAAATTTCATAATTTTCGTTTAATATGTAAATTTAACAATTTTGACTGAAGATTATATTTTTTTATAAAAGTAACTTCTATATTTCTTCCATGCACAGTTAAATGAAACCAATATGTATTTATAATTTTTTTCATTAAATTTAACGAGCTGTTTTTAACAGCTAAAGGGATAAAAGTTAAATGCTTGGTTAAGTTTGCTTAAAGTAGTTCTGTAATGTTACATAAAATGTCGAGTCTCGTGAAAAATATGTGAATGCGATTTGGTGCAAAAGTCCAGCGAATGTGCGCTTTAAGTAGTTTGAAAATTAAAAGTTTAAGAATTTTAAAAACTTTTCGCAGATTAAAATAGAAATTACTATAAAAGTATAAAATCTGTGTTTAGAAAAAGCATTCCTTGAGTTTTGCATCAAGTCGTGATTGTTATCAGAAAAAAAAAAATGATGTTGAATTGCCTTTAGCAAACTGTATTATAACTTTTTCTATATTTTATGTATTTTTCAGAGCCTACAAGCATCTTGCATTTCTTTTGCCTTTTCATATATAAATTATATTAGATATTAACATTGTCATGTAAACTTAAATATAAAACTTCCTTTTTCTACACATAGTATGTAGATCATCTACATGTAAATGTAATGTTTGTGCCCAGTACCAGTGATTCCCACTAAGCTTTGATTAAAAATTTGGATTCCTCAATCATCAGCTACATTATATATTTCTTACTTTGCCAAATTCATTCATCTCTACGAAGATAATTTTTTAAGAAAAAATGTTAGAGTTTTTACTGCAATTTAAAGAAAGTTGTTTTCACTGCTAATGTTTTTGGCTGCAAATTTAAGAGAACTTTCACTGCAGATTTTAAGAGACATCAACATTCATTGCAATTTTAAGAGAAATGCCTTATTCTCACTGTTGAAATCTTAATTTCTTGGATAAATTCACTAAATGTTACTCATAGCAATAAATGTTAAGACTTAAAAAGGAAGTTCGTGTTTTCCGTTCCATGTTTAGTGCAGTATGAAGCCAAAAAAAAAAGATATTTGGCTACTTCACCCTTTTTTCAGAATCTGCAATTGTATGGCCTGCAAAATCAAGGTGATGAGATGAATTTTATAAAGTGATCGATTCATCGCTTGGAGCAAGCTTGTGAGAAGGTATGTCTTTAGCTTCTGTCTTAAGCTAAAAAAAAAAAAAAAAAAAAAATGGAACAATGGTGACTAATTTGAACATACTGGAAAAGTGAGACTTAATTTAACTGATAATGGCTTTAAGAGAAGAAGAATAAATTTAATGTGTGGCATAAAATAATTATTAAGTGTTTTAATGAAGATAAGTTTCAAGAAAGTAATACTTCAAGTGATAAAGTGATTTTGAAATGTGATAATTCATCTGAGAAGCAATGTGGATATTCATTAAAAGTAATTTAATAAACTGCAATTTTGTAAATTTGGAAAAAGATTAAATTCAACGAATTTTAATTTGTGATTATTCCTGCTTTGATAATATCTCCAGGAAAAACATAATGTTAAAATATTTTTGTATTTTACTTTTGTAAAGATATTAATTTGTAACTTTTAAAATGTAGTTATCAGATTGCTTGTAAATTAAGTTAAATGAAATTAAAGCTTTTAAGAAACTGTCTGAATAGAGTGCTTCAGATATTTAATATGCATCATCAGTGTTATATGTGTAATCTGTTTTGGGTCATATTTTCTAGTACAGTGTTTCTTAACCATCATGAAACACAGGTATTTTTATTGTACAGCAGTACAAATTAGTATTACAATTAATAAATACATTTGTCTCTATAAATATTGTTAATCTCTAAAATAAAAGTATTGCATCAAATGTGTAAAGATTTCTTAAATATAGTAATTAAAACATGTAGGTTAATTTTTGGTCTTACTAAAATTTTAATACATGTGAAAGCAGTTAATCTCTTACTGTGGTCACTTAGTAATTTCTGGCTTTCAAGAAAAAAGGGGATAAACTAACTATATTAAATTTTAGTAATTTAAAAAGGAATTATTAATGGTAGCCAGTTGGGAGTTAAATTATATCATAGTGTTTTCTGTTTTAAATATAATATAGCTAATTGGATCTAAAAGCATACATTTGTTGCAATACTGATTTATTTTTTAGAAAATATTCTTAATTTTGTGCCTGCATTTCAGGCAGGGTTGCCAGTTGCTTAATTTTAAAATACCAAAAATTTTATGTAAAAGAAAAATTCATTGTATTGTATGACATTGGTGTTTAAGTTTCTCATATGGGGTGTATAACTGTAAAATAATGTTTGTGTTTGAAAACTAATTATTTTTCGAATTTGTTTTTGGGTATACATCAGGGATGACCCAATATGTCTTAATTAATGATTCTAGTGAAAGTTGTAATACAGTTATTTGTTTAAAGTGTCTTGAGTTTAATGAAGTATTTAATAATGTGGTAAGTTTGCAGGTTATGGGCCAGTTTGGCAACTTAAAAGAATTGTCAGTTTTATTTTGATGATTGTGATTTTAAATAAAGCATGTAAACATTTAAGCAATACTGATCTAAAAAACTATTTAAAGAAAAACAAAAAGACTTTTAAAGCAAGTTTATCTGTTTGCATTTATAAGATTAAGAGCTCAAAATGGAGAATAAGTAATAGAAAACTATTTTCTGCACAGCCAAAACATTAATAAAGTAAGTGAAAAGGGATTTAAAAATAGCAAGCATTTCAACATGTGTGTAAGTACATCTTAATAAATTTGAGTTCATGGTTGATATTGCATATCTATGTTGTATATATGTAAATTACAGTCAAACTCATCTTTCATCCTGCTAAGTACTCTTCAGACTTATTTAATAAGTCTATATGAATTTGTGTGATAACCGTCCTGGGATCCTGGAAAGAAGACTCATTTATGCAAAAGCATACAAATTCACTATTGTTGAGATATTTGTATTATTTTCAACAGTCTAAAATAACAGCAGATCATGGTAAAGTAGTTTCTTTTATAATTTTTTAATACACATTCTTTGGGTTTTTTTTCCCTTTTTATATGAAAAAGACATTTGCTTGATAATCTTTCAATGCAACCCATGAATCATTTATGTGCTTTTCTATATTTTCATTGATTTTTCCCAGTCCTTCAAGCACATCTCCACATATATATTAAGGTAGAACATCTTCCAAGCTACTACAGTGTAATTAATCGCGTCTTGCTTAATCTTATTGAACTTATTTCTGATCTTGTAAATATGTTAGTTGAAGGGTCAAACTTGCAAGTAAACATTAGTTAGAAAATGAAGAGCCTTTTATATACATTTCTTTTGACCTTGTTTTTGGAAGCACCAGAAACACAGCACTGCCATTCACACAGATGTGTTGCATCTAAGTCTCTTAATTTAATGCAGACCTGTGTATTAGGAATAAAGAGTAATTGGTTTATGCTTTTATTTCTTATTAAGGACTTATTACTACCAGTCTGTTGCATTTTTATGTATTGTATTTATCTTTAATTTTGATTGTTTAAGCATCTTCTAATTGTTATATAAAATTCTTTCTGTATCTGGCATTGTAAAGTTGTGTTTTTGCTATGGTGTTAAAAAAGGGGAGGAAATTAGACTAAATATTGGGTTTAAATGAAGTTCCATGTATGAAATATTTTTTTAATCTGTTTTTAAAGCTTTTCTCCTAAGAGACCAAATGTTTGGTTCCAAAATCCAAAATTTCCACGAAGAAAGGTATATTTTTGATTATAACAAAATACCTCTGATAATTTTCTAGATTCTCTTTTAATAATATACTGTAATTTCTTGGTCATGTTTCAAAATGCAGTTATGTATACTGTAGACATAACAAAAAAAATAGTACTTGTAGAGAATTACCTTTGATCAACAACGAGCTCTGCTTTTGTACCAGCTCTGCTGCACTGAGTAAAAATGAACATAACTCTCATTATGAATTTGATTGACAGAGCCTTTTGAAAGATAGATTGCTTGATCTCAATTTCTGAAGGGTTAATTAACGGTTACACATCCTTGGTGTATGCTTTTATAACGAAATTTTTGTGAACCCTTTAGTGTAATTAATTTCTGTGACTTATTTTAATGCACTTAAAAACTGTAATGTGTTTTAAGGCATGTAAAATCTATATTGAAAATTGTAAAAGCGTGCCATTTCACTTCTGTACTAGTATTAATGTAATTTTTGTTATGTAGTATGAATGCATGTTCAGTAATCATTATTGCAAAATAAGGCTGGCAACCCATGCTGATTTTGTGCATTAATTACTGGAATGGATATAACCTGAGAGTAAATAAATTGATCGACACAAGTTTATGAAAGAAAGGGTTGTGAAACACTGTTCTAGTATTTGTGAAAGAGCATTCTCATTGTTAACAACTGCCTTTGTCTTCAATAGGTTTTCCCCTTGTGACATGAGCAAGATGTCTACACCAGACCTCAATGGTACATGTTAGGTTTTTTGTGATGATAGTGTACTACACTTTTGCAGTACATTATATTTTCATATTGTAAAGTTAAAAAAATATATAATAAAAGCCTCATTGCATAAATATATATTAATAGTATGAATATTTGCACTCAAGATTTAATTTTAATTTGGATGATAAAAATTTTTCAGAGGCCTTATCATAAACGTTTTCAGTCAATGCAGATTTGGTCTTTTTTTCAGTTTAAAAACACTTTAAAGGTAACTGATTTTGTAATTCGAGGTGATGTATATGAAGTAATATTTTAAATAATAATATTTTTCTTTTTTAAATTTCAGGAAGCTTTTTATTGGTGGTATAAGTTGGGATACTGATCAGAGTATGTATTTTTTTTACTTTACATCCATTACATATCCTCGGTTCCCTAATGAATTGAATAATGCTTTAAATTTAAATGACTGTCAACGTACATGTGTCCTGTCCGTGTTCCGAGTAATTTTTTGGAAGTGTTAATATTGATGCTAACTAGTCAATTCATAATGAAAACTAAACTTTATTTGTTTATTTAATGTTGATGTTAACTTCTGAAGCCCAAGGGTTTGCATATTGTTTTTGATTACTCAGATTTCAATGACATTGATCTCCTGAGTATATGTAGTGACACATCAGAATATAATTCAGTTTCTAATGGACATATGCATATTTTTAAGCATGATGCTTTTCTTTAAGTGTAAGATTTTGTCAAATCTTAAGTGCTGTGGAGGTATCTCAGTTTTTAGTAGTTCAGAATGGTAACTGAAGGGGGAAAGCTGGGTACTTGTCTTACGACTTAGGCGATAAAGTGAGTTTTTTGCATTGGTGAAAAACAAATAATTACTGGTTTGCACATGTATGAGAAATGAATAACTGTATTGTGTCAATATAGCGATTTTACATTGTAAAAAACTCATGCTAACCATTTCATGTGGTACTCCTTTGAGACTATCAATTGAAAATTATTGAATTCTAAATTTATTTGAATCATGTGCCAGTATAATAAGAATCTTGCTTATCTAGACATTAAGATCTATTAGAAATTCAAATTATGCCATATTTTAATACAGTCAAAAGTCGTTAATCCGGACTCATCGGGACTTTGGCGATTCCGGATTATAGATCATCAGTTTAAATTTGGTAAGATGGCATGCAGAAATTATGAAATTAAAAATATGAAACCGTAATTTATGAAATAAAGAACAATTATGATCTAAAGGGTATCAAAATTTATAAAAAAAGCTTAATAATTACTTGTTTACTTTGTTAAACATTTCTTTCAATGTAAGTTGTTTAAGTTGCTTTGTTTTTTCGATAATACTTTCTCTTTAATTCTATAAACAAACATAATTTCTTGTTCAGTTCCGCTGTTCAAGTCCTATAATTGCTGTGTCGAGAATACTAATTTTTTAATCGAAATTTTCGTTTTCGATAACCTCTGTGTAACTTTCTTCACTATTAGTGGTGGTATTCCAATTCATTGTGCGCCCTGTCGTTTCCCTCCCCCCGCAGAGCAGCGTGAAATTGATAAACAGATTTCAGAATGATTAGGTAATCAAGCCTTTATCCATTTTTTTGCAGCAATTCCGCTTTCTGTTTAATGGACTTTGAAACATACTTTCGCTTTGTAGATACTTTACATATTAGTAAATATATATCAGAAATTCTATTTGACATAATCGAAAGTTCAAGCTTACTTTTATAAAATTGCTCTAACAGTCTGCAAAAAATAATAAGCCGGATCCAGTTCGAAGATTAATCAACAACGCGATCTGCAACATGAACTGAATTACATAATTTTAGCTTAGCTTATACTGTCCGTTATATATTAAATGAGCTTGTGTAAACGTATTATGTGCATGCGCACACTCATTCGCAGCCGTAAAGGTCTTGCGCGTGCGTCAACGCGACGTCTGCGCAAAAGGTTTGTAGCTTGGAGGTCCGGATTATAGATCATTTCGGATTATGGGTGTCCGAATTAATGACTTGACTGTACTGTGTTTTAGGTAAGTCATTACAGTTCCCTGTTAAAGTCTTGAAACATGAAATTTATGATAAGAATTTCCGCAGTTTTGGCAACCAAGCATGGTGGATACTTTAACAAGGAAGTACTACTAATCCTACATTCAGTATTCTTGTAATTTGGCTTTTAATTTCTGATTATGATATGTGCATTAAAATCCACATTTTCTTTAATGTTCCTGATGATTTACAACAAATGGTTATTTTACAAAAGCATCCCTTTTCTAGGCATATAGTCCTCATTTTCTTGGCGGTAATCGCCTTCCTCTTCGAAACCTTACGTATACTGACAAGATGAAAACAATTTGAATGCTTAATTCCGTAACAAATTATCTAAACTAGCATTGCATCTTGAAGAGAAATGTTAGAAAAAGATGGCAGGCACTTTAAATTATAAAATGCTTAAAGTTAGTTGCTTTCTGTAATGATTTAAGCTCCTGTTCATGCTTTTGTCTGTAGGCTGGATCAGTGTTATTCAAACTTTATAGCAGTGCAGTCCCATAAAAATAATTTTGGAACCCCAGTCAGAATGTTGACCCTTCATTATACAGCCAAATACCGAAAATCCGCCGACCTGAAATCCGCGCTGCTTCTCAGAATATAAACATTCAGTTTATAGGTTCTGGAAAGCGCAACATTGAGTACGGAATATCGAAGAAACTTACTGGAAATACGTCATAATTACCGAATAATTAATGAGTCATAACAGAATTACCAAATTATTGACATCATGATAAGAGATTTTTCTCTCCAGTGTGTATTGAGGTAAAAAAGCAGACGATTATTTCAACTCTTCTTTCAAGTTCATTCTTCACGTTGTTGTACTTTCTGAGCTTTGTTATTTCACGAGATTGTTTAGTGATGTTTTTTTTTATTCGGATATTTTGTGGATAAATTTAAGAATATTTTAGATTTCAGCGCTTTTTAATACAATGACAGATAAGAAACGCGTTCGTGATTTTACTGCTTGCAGCGTTGAAAAACATAAACACGTTGCATTGACGGTAATGAAAAAGTGGAAATTCTGCTAAAGATGAAGCAGGTGCTACTCCTCGATTTATAGCAGAATGGTATGGAATTGCGACACTATTGTGTATGATGTACGGAAAAATAAAAAAAGCAACAGTGATTCTAACACTGGAATCCGAAACCAGAAATCTTTGCATGAGGCGAAATCGGCAAACCTCAATGCTGTGTACATATAATACAATGGATAATATAATCAATTCATGTATGTAATAATAATTTAATGTATCTAATACGCCTTATTCATTTTGCATTTTTAGTCTTTATCTTTTCTGTCCTGAAATCCGCAAAATCCTAAAATCTGCACAACCTGTGGTCCCAAGCTTTGCGGATTTCTGGAACTTTACTGTATACCATCAGGTCAGATTTTTAGCATTTTTATCCACCTTTCAAACTCGCTACAGATTTTTGCAATGTTTGGTTTGAATGCCATTAGACGCAGATTATCATTGCATTTCTCAATTCTTTGATCAAGTTGTGATATTCTCTGTCCAGTACAGGTGTTAGTCAAGAGAGAACCTTGCTTTTTTTGCCAAAAAGTCTTTCACTGCAATTGTATAGTGCTTGAGACAATTCCAATTGATTTAGGTCATAAGATTAGTTTTATAGGAAACAGGAAGGATTTTCACATTTTTAGCACTTTGTTTTATGAAATTTTGTATTTGCAGAACACTGATGTTTATTTCTGTTTGTATTCTTTCAAGCTGAAAAATTGGTCAGAAAGCTTATAAAACTATATTCACTGTAGCAAGCTTTGACTATCCCTTTTGAAATATTCTGATTGACAAAATTCTGCGATTGGTATTATTTGTGTTTTTCGAATTGAAAATAAATTAGAAGGCTTCTAAAACTGTAATGGGATTTGGCTGTATCCATGTTAAGCTTGATCCTTTAATTCTTAATAGTTTGAGAAGTTTTTAAAACATATAGTAATTGTAAACAAGTACGTGAATGCTACATAATTCATATTTTAAATTTAATTTCTTAAAATGTTATGCTTTTTTATTTTCTACAGAGGATCTGAAAGAGTATTTTTCAAAATTTGGTGAAGTTACTGATGTCACTATTAAAACTGACCCTACAACTGGAAAATCTAGAGGCTTTGGATTCATTACATTCGCAGTTGAAGAGACAGTAGACAATGTAGGTCTTGTACACAGTGTTAATTTTGAAATCAAAAGGCCTTCATAGGAATTCATATACTTTTTTTGTATTTTCATTAATTTTTTTTCAAATGTTTTAGGTATTGAGAAATGTGCCACATACAATAAAAGGAAAACAGATTGATCCTAAAAGGGCTAAGGCCAGGCCAGGAATTAAAAAGATCTTTGTTGGTGGGTTAGATATTGACTACCCAGAAGCTGATATAAAAGCATATTTTGAAAAATATGGAAAGGTATTTATATAAAAATTTATTGTTAAAATTTACATTATAAATAATTCTGTATATGTAAACAGAGTTTTATAGTCTGGTGATCTGTTGAACTGTGGTTCGTTAATTAAGAGTTGATCAAGGTCTACTTTTTCCAAGAACAAGTGTGAAATTTATGCTGGCAAAATCCCATCAAGAAATGGTGTTTTAATGAGCTCAAATACAGTATGTAGTTTTTTCCAAATCAGAGCTTCATATTTATACTTTCATAAATAACATGTTTTAAAATGTCATTTTTTGATTATTTACATTGTACATTCAGTTTGAAATAATGCATTAGTTTCTGAATAACAATAAGACTTGTCATGCATAGGTAAATTTTGGATTACATCATGTGATGCGTTAATAAAATTTTAAGGATATGACTCTTGTTAACCTTTGTTGAGAAGCAAAATTTAATGGAAAAGAATCGATGACAAATTTTCGGTATATTTTGGATCACTTGGATCGGTATCACTTGGATGATTTTACATGTGACCATATTATTGATAGCATTGAAGAAGGGCAAGAAGAACAATGCTGCTAGGGAGTTCGACGTCAGCCAGTGTTGTTTCAGGGCTGTGGAGATCATTTCAAATAACTAGCAAACGTCTAATTGGACTAGATAGAACTGGTCTTGTGTATTATTCTTAAGGTTTCAGTCTGTTACTCAATTATAGATAACTGATCTGGCATGAGAGTAGTACTGCTTATCGTCCAGAAAATATCTGGGAAAGGACCGGTATCTGAGGTGCAATTTCACGGTTTGAGCTGGCACTGTGATCAGTAGCTGTATGCTGCTGTTCTGTGTGTTTCCAGCTAAGGACTGTGCTTGGCCAACGATGCATTAATGATGTTCTGCTGCCTCATGTTTGTATATTCTGTGGTGCTGTCAGTGATAAATTTCATAGATGACAACATTACATGTCATCAAACAGTCGCTGTCAAAGAGCGTCTAGAACAGTGATGGCGAACATATTGGGGCTGTATGCCGAAAATTCAACCAAAACCAACTTATTTATAGCAAAGTGCCATCACCAATTAAACCTGAAAATGGGGGTTTGGTTTAGCAAAACAACATGCACATGATTTAAAAAACAAGAAAAGAGTTTTCAACGATACAAAAAAACTTTTTAGTACAGAAAATAGATTGGTTTTGCATAATTGAATGGGATTTTAGTTGTATTGGTTTTGCATAATTGAATGGGATTTTAGTTGTATACATATTGATAATTCATCAAACCTTGGCTCATACTTTGTTAATTTGAGACAACACATGCACCACTCAGGCTATCTGTCAGTCTGTTTCTTGTGTGACATTTGATATAATTCAAAGCTGAAAACAACTGCTCAGATGCATAAGATGTTCGAAACAAAGTAGCACTCCCAAGTGTTTTAATTTATTTGAACTTATTTGGAAGAGAATTCCATGCTTTTAGGATTTCATTATCAATTGTGCTGTCCTCTGTGATCTGTTACACAGATCAGAGCATTTTCTTTTCCCCCGTAGAGATTTCTTGAAATTCCAAATTTTCAAGATTATATAAGATTGAAGTACATTCCGTTTAAGATATTAAATTAGAACTCGCTGGCAGTCTGCAATAAATTTGAATTCGTTTAGCAAGCATTTTAGCTGCTTCAACTTTGGTGTATTCTTTGCCATGTGACAAGTATTATGATTGGCCCAAACAATTAAAACGTCGTAAATTGTGTCAATAAATATGTATATCACTAGCGGGCGGAAGCCCACTTTTAATTGTTCGTGTGTTCTCATGTTCAATTGTGCCTATATTCGAAAGTTGGACCGAACTACCAGTTTCGGCGATTTTAAACTAAAACAATTATTTAAATTACATAGTATAATTTTTATTGTGATTATTAATTTAAGGAAGTAATATTTTAGTTGTATGCTGTTTGATGCTTTGGGGAGAAGTTGTGCTGGTCTAAAATGCCCTCCAATACAATAGGATACTTATCAGTGCATTGCCAGAGGAATGGTATAAATTTCTCCAATAGCTGTTTGGTAGTGTAGTGCAAAGTATGATACGACATGTGGGATCTTATACAGTCTTGCATGTAACCATAATCTGAATTGCCATCTTAAACCAGAATGCTTGCAGAAGTAATTGCATTATTTCCACTATTACATATTTAGCAAAATATGACCATTTTGTTCTTGAGTACTTCTCAGATCTTTCTAGATTTCAGAGTACAATAAATTTTTATTGTTATGTTGTAGTATTTTCACATTATTTAACTTGGTATCCCAAACACACTTTTTAATATGCTGTATAGCTGCTTGTGATCCATCCTTAGCAGTTGTCCACCAGTGTATTTTAAAGTAAAATATATATAAAGTAGCCAAGTAAAATATATATGTACTTAATTATGCGTGAATAGTAAGACCTAGTCTTATTATTATTATAAAGGCAGAGCAGTTCTGTGATAAGAGTCATGATAATTCCCACTAATATTTTGCTCAATAGATCTATTATAGTACAGAAGAGATTACTGCATTAGCAAGGAGCACTGCAAGGTAAACTAGCAATAATGTTTAACTATAAAATCAAAAATAAATCGTTTGCGGAACATTTTTGGAGAACACCTGAATTTTAACCATATAGACTTAAAAAAGCGTTTGCATTTGTTAATTTTTTAAAAAGTAAAAAAATATTGTCATGGATAAGGAGGGCTACACTCTATTCTTGTTTTAAATATTAACTTTAAATAATTAAATGGTATGCATTTATTAACAGCGTGGTCAATTTTTAAATCTGGTGTTTGATAGGTTGAAACTGTTGAATTGCCATTTGACAAGGTGAAAAACCAGAGAAGGCAGTTCTGTTTTGTCACCTTTGAAACGGAAGAAGCTTGTGAAAATTCATGCAAGCAAGCTAAGCAGAAAATTGGTAATAAAGAATGCGATGTCAAGAAGGCTACTAACAAACCTGACCCAAGAATGGGTGGTGGACGGGGAGGTCCTGCTGCTGCATGGGGTGCTGCCTTCCCAGCACGTGGTGCTGCTGCTCGTGGTAGAGGTGCAAGAGGCAGAGGAGGTAAAACTATTTAAATATCTCATGATTTTTCTGATAAAATATTGCTGTTATGTAATTAAAATTTTTTTAAGATTTACTTAAAATAATTTATCATAGATCTGCCTTATTCAGTAATAAAGTTTTGAGTACTCTTCTGTTAAGGGGGCACCAGATTCACAAATATATATATATTGCATGTGTATATTCTTTATATATGTGCACACATGCATACATAAACTTGTGCTTTTTCAGAATCCAGTTCTGATAACTGAAGAGTTAGTTTAGGTATACATAACCAATCATATTGTATAAATATATTGCAGTTTTGTATTGTGTAAGCAGATAGGTGAACAACCATTGCAAAATTCGGTAAAATGTTAGATATAATTTGGTATCTGCTGCATTCCTAGTAAAAAGCAAATTTTGATTTCTTCCTGTGGGGGGGGGAAGTGAACAGTTATTTGAAGCTGCTAAAGTATAAAATATATGTAGTAGAAATACGTAGTATTGGAAGAAATATTTAGTAGAAAAAGTGCCACAACCCTCCTAAGGATGCACAATTTTTGAAATCTTAAATTACCCTGGTGCTATTAAACACTACCCAACATTAAATTCCGCGTGATATTGTGAAATTGTTGTTTTTGAGATTCTCCTGAACAGCATACAGTTTGTCCTTTTGAATTTTCCTCTTCAAAATTACAAAGTTAAACGGACACTATATAAATACTAGCTTATGCTGCACAGTTTTCATATACTGTTTTTACTGTATAAATCAGTTTCATAACTTAATTTCGTTTTTAATTCAATTTTCTTTATTTCTGTTTATCTGAAACTAAAATTCTGTTTCAGAATCTACCTAAAATAGATACCAAAGCAAGTTAAAACAGTATATTCTCAGAAAAGTTTATTGCTAATATTTAAATAGAATAATTGTGAATTATGTAGAAAAAACATATTTAGATTTAGTGGTATTTGAATTTATTAGTGAGACAACATTTGACTATAATATACACATTGTAATAAAGGTCAGTCTAATGAGTTTAAGAAGTTTTCCATTACTTCCAATTTTTTCAGCTGTTAAGAAAAACTTGCCATCCTTTTTCAACCTTGTTAGACTTGAGAAATATAAAATTTGTTACTACGTCAAAAATGTTATTTGCCTAAAGGTGGCATATAATGCTTAGAAAATATTAGAAATCGGATTCCAAATATAAAAGGCCATTATTATGAACACTGTTTGCTAGTTATGTCTTAGCTGGAATGCCCTGATAGTCTGTTCCATCCTGTTTCCAGTTTTATTGGGTGTTTATTATGCTTTACCTACATTTTAATTTAATGGGTGTAAATCATTTGATGGTGATGTTGGTACTTTGTATTATTGCAAATTGCCATAGTCTTCTACAAGTGAAAAGATAAAAATTACTTATCAGGTACAGATTGGTGATTTTCACTTTTTTAGTTGTCATATTATCGATATTTACCATAAATCAACAAACATATTCAACATAGTGAAATAAAAAATTAACTCAAATTTTCATTATTAAGTAACCATTATGTGATGCAAATATAAAACAAATTTTGTGTGATTTTTAGCATTGCACTTTCTATGTACACAGGAATAAATTTTCTCTTTAAAAAACCAAAAATTGCACAATCACCACCTTTCTACCAGACTTATGTTATTGTACCCATTAGTGATTTTTAGCAAAATACTGCATTGCTGCAGAGAGATTTCCCGAGCAAATACAGTAAGACTGCTTTTAAAACTGGATACATACCAGTGCTTAAACAGGTAATTTTACATATGAATAATATGGATAAATGAAATAAAGTATAAGAAAAATTTCTCTCGTTCTTTTTTTGTCTTCCTAACATTTATTATTAAATAGTCTGATTATTTTTATTATAGAGTGTATTTCTAATATAGATTTCATTTATAAAACATTTATGAAAATTTTAAAAAGTTTCCATTAAGAAGTTATGTTTTTGATGAGAAAATTTCATTTGGATCGTGTGTGTATGAAGGTATTTTGGTCTAGTTTACCTTTTCCTGTGTTGTTCAGTAGGTGGTTATCAATAGCAAAATATTGCATCAATGACACTTCATTTTACCTTTGAGCTTGTATCAAAAGTTACCATATTTGACTGCATATAAGATGCACTTTTTTCCTAAATTTGGTCTTCAATAATTGTTTATTTGGCTTTTACGAAACGTGAGAATGTAAAGAAACCACGCTAGTGTGTGGCCGTCAAATATGGTAAATCATTTAGTATAAACTGATCCGTAATTTTTGTTATAGTGGCTAAACATTTTTAGTTAGGACAAACTTTACTTTTGCTCCTCATTTTCAGACACAAATTTCATTATCTTTGTGCTTGTTCAACTAATGTAAGGTCATCATTGGAAATATTTTCACAAGTTGTAGCCTTCAATAATTCAATATCCTGCACATTTATATTATGTAGTCTTCTGTCATAAGCCAGCTTGATAACTTCGTTGACATCAATGAATTCTAATTGTGTCAGCATGTTTCCTTAGCTCTGGCCATATATTCCATACTTCTTTCAAGCATTTTTCAGTCACCTCATTCCAAGCATAAATGATATCATTCAAAGTGTCCTATGATATTGAATTAAAAAAATATTTGTTATGATTGTTTTTTTTTTTTTTTTTCCTTTTCTCCATTTGTTTATATGTCAGTTGTGTAAATCTCTGCTGTAGATAATAAACTGTAAAATTTGAAATTATTACCTTGATCTGCTGGTTGAATTAATGAAGTTATGTTTGACAGCAAGAAAACTGCTTCTGAAAACCCGCTGATAAGTTGGACTGCTTGGTACATTATTGATAAAATATAAAACTTTCAGTTCTAGTTTTTAAGTTCTCAGCTGTAATAAATAGATGAAAAAGTTGGGTAAACCAACTGTCAAATTTTTATAATGATTTAAGATTATTACATTCCCAAATTACTGGTAAAGATGATTTTAAAATTCTCTTTAAAGTTTTAAATGATAATGTTTAAGTTTTAAATGATTTTAATGTTTAGAGTTTTAAATGATAAACAAGCAGTAATTTTTAAGTTCCTTTAGTGTTCTCACCCAGTAATGCTATCAGTTAACTGATCTTTTGCAGTTCTAAATTCTAAACCAACACAATGCATAAGTAATATCATTATGCACTAACTGAAGTATTTTAATTTTCTATGATATGGTAACATTAATTTTAAAGGTAAAAACTGATGGCTACTCTTTTTTAAATGTGTTATGGTTTTTGTATTTAGTACAGTGGTACCATTGGGATTTTAATGCATTATTTATATACTTGTATCATGTAAAGGTTTATATTTGTTTCTATCCAAGCCATGTTGATACATCTTCAGAGACTAAATATTGTTGGCTAATTCAAAATATACTTTTAGGGCCTGGATTTTCTCAACCTCAAGGATGGAGTGCTCCTGGTGGTTATGCAGGAGGATATGGTGGACAAGGTTATGGTTATGGTGGACAAGGCTATGGCAGTGGTTATGGAAATTACGGAAACTACGATTATGGATACAGTGGTGGTTATGGTAGTGGATATGGCAACTATGATTATAGTGGCTGGAACTATAACCAGAGTGGTGGATATGGTGGAGCTGGTTATGGTAGGTACAGTTCAAGTTTGTGTTTTAAATTAATGTAATACATAAATGCAAAAGGTACAGAATGTGAAAATTTATAAATCTTTAATGCAAGATTTATGCTTTAATCTATTTAAAATTATTTTAGGTCAGCAGCCAAGTAGTTACGGCAAAACTCCAAGACGTGGTGCTGCTACTGGAACTGCTACTAGTGCTTACCATCCTTATAGTCGTTAAGGAGCATTTTTTATTTAATCATCTTTCATCATGTCTCTTCATGTTTTGTACATAGATTTGGCTTTCTTCATTGAATAAACTTTTATTACTAGGAGACTGTGTATAATTACTTTGTATTTCAGATTAATTACCATTAAATGCATCAAAATTTGTGTTCCTTCCTTTTTTAAAAATTTTTACAGGTTAAAATGTAATTTTAGGAAAAATTTAAATTCTTTGAGATGCATTTCTGCTTAAAGCTGGTCTTATTTTTATAATGTATTAGTTATGTAGAAGTATCAGATAAAATTGGTTTATTTAATGGAGGATTTGTTTTACAAACCAGCTGAGAAACTACAATATACTGTATTTGATTCAAGTAAAAGCCTTGTGTATTTGAATTAAATATTTATGAATATGTTTTAAATTGCTTTTAATGAACTGATTGACAAATTTTGTTTTAAACTGAAAAAATTAAGTAGACTAATGATTCTAAAAATTGCAAGACCAAAATCGTACATTAAAACTGTAAACTAGCACTAGCATCTGCCAATTTAAAAGGGTTAGATATCTGGCATAGAGATGGGCAAAACTATTCCTTATAACCCTTTGTTGCATACAAATAATCTAGAGAAGTTAAATGAAACTGTATTTTTTACACTTAAAATAACCTTAGTAATAATAAAGATTTATTTTATACAAATTTCATCTTAAATACAGCTTATCCACTACAGTGGACAGCATTAATATACATACAATCTCTTCCCAACAATTTATGGTCATTGCATTTAAAATCATTCCTGCCTTGTTTGCAATGACCAATATCTTCTAAAAGTAAATATACAAATGACATATACATACAGATCTGAAGTTAGATTCAAATGTTCTACGAATTCCTTGCCAAACACAATTTTAAACATTTGCAGTTGTGTTTTTTGGCTTGACAAGCGCGTCCTTGGATTCATTCACTTTCGGTAGGTTGAGGAAGCTCTTCTTCAATGGCCGCCGGCCCGGGGTCCTTGCTTCTCGAATCGAATCCAGCTTTATCCCTGGTCATGTACATCCAATGGTTATTTTAATCTTTCTGTTTTCAAACAGCGATACACCTAAGTTAGGCAAAGAATATATATGTAAGGGGAAAGCTTGCGCCGATTGGCTCCTCGAATTGAAAAGGGACACCCTGTGCATGCCTGCTCTGTTGCCTGGCCAAAGCCGAGCTGATGTCGAAGTTCGAACAGGTCGACAGTCACGTTATCAAGAGTTTAAAGCTGGTGATTCATTCCCCCCTACCTGCAGATATAAAATCAGAAATCCCTGCGATGGTACAAGTCAACTAGTAAGCCGAGAGAAATTAGAATTAAATTATCGCGAAGTCGAATGATCATCTTACACGTCCTCAATTCCTGTGGGTTGTGGAAATCCTCACGAAGGTCGTCGCCAAATCCCTTGTCTTCTTCTAGCTGTGTAGAAGACAATTGGTTTACATTAGTCTATGAGGGCCTTCTTTACGTGCCCTTCTTTGGTTTCGCCTCCCTTTTTCTGGTCCGAGATTTTAGTGCTGTTTGGGAAAATCTTTATACCCTTGTCAAGACTTCCTTTTTTCCCCCCTTATTTTTGGTATTTTTGTAAGGAATTTTGTTCTCATTCTTTGCTCATCATGGAGGAATGTCTGTGTGCACTTTCTCCAATGTCATCATTACTCATAAGGAAACCTCCTTTATGATTCCATCTCTTGCATCAAAACATTTCTGTTTTAGAGTCTAAAATGTGAACTGAAATTAGATAACTTTGTTTTATTATCTAATTTCATTATCCGCATTAAAATGTATTTAAATAGCGCAGCAGCCAAGGACCCCCTACCCGGCTTTTGCCTCTTTACATTTTTCAAAAGGCTCTGTCCATAAAAAGCATTCATGATGTCCATTACTAGGCAAATAGGCGTTTGATTTTGTTCAGATGTCTATTACATAGCAAAGTAAAAAAACTAATTCTATATGCATGATGGTCTACTGTATTGACACAAGAAAAGCCGTTTTTCATAAAATTAGCTTCTCACAATTTTTCAAACTCGCTTTACATAATATGTCTAACCTCGAATTAGAATAAAAAATGGCAGTAAAAAAACTTTAAGTAATTATCATTACTATCACTTTACTAGTCTGGCCACATGAGTCGCCCCTTTCCAAATACAGGCTTTTCTTAGTGATTCCATCGCCTCTATGAATCTGCCATGCATTTATATTATTATCACTACTTGCCAGCAACTCTTCGCTAATGATAGTATAGTTTGATATAATCTGCAATAGCATTTATTTTTACTTATTTACTTGTTTGTTTTCCCCCCATGTTGCGAGTGGCTCCTGTTTTTTTAATTTATGGCGAGCTTCATGAATAGTTTCATTATTAAAAATTAAACCTTAATTCCCCACTATTTATTTCTTTTAGTTTCCTTTAGTTAGAAATATAAAACTGTTAGCCAATGCCCCTTTTAGAGATTTTTATTCTACTTAGACCCGTTTAACGTATTCACGAGCTTTTTTGAATGTACAGTTAATTGGCGATTCTAGAGATATTTTCTTTGAGATTTCTGAATAATTAAAACGTCAGTGCAACCTGTCAGAAATAACCTTCCCTCCTCTTCACTCCCGCAATTTGAATAGTGTTTTCCTTCCTTCCTTTTTTTTGGGGGGTGGAACCCTCTTAGAAGTCAAATTTAAAGTACATCACCTCAAACTAGAGTAATAAATATGTAGCATTTATAGAGGTCGTGAAGATTCTAAGCACTGCATAATGACATCTAATCACTTTTGTAACTCATAATTATCTTCTAGAGTCATCAATTCAAGTTATGTTTTTTAGGTTAAGTCACATCCTAATTCTCTTCATCATAGTATGTTATAGTAAAAAAAAATTAGTATTATGTTTCCAAATTGTTTTTCTTTTTTTGATTTGTGTATTTTGTTCAAGATGCTGATATCGTTTAGTTAAAAATACCAGAAAGCACTAATGAAAAAAATGAATAGATTCAAAAACCCTTGACAATGTCGAATTATTATCTGTCGAATAAAATATTGAAAAAATTTAATAATATTAGAACGCGAAGCCATCGTCAAAGATAAGTCCTTCGTCTGAATATATCTTTTCTTAATCATAAAGTGACTTTTTGAATAGCGAATGAAATGGGAAAGACAGAATAAGTGCAAACAGCAGCAGACAAACGACGCTTTCGAACTCAGCATGAAAAGAGAACGGAAGAAATGGCACTAAGCCAAGGGAACGCATGCCTTCGTGGAGGATGTTTTAGAGGAACCTCACTCGTATACATGTTACGCAAGGGGAAAACCACAAAAGTGCCCATGCAGTCAGCCTTTCTATGCGCTGCCCGACTCTCTCCCGTGTTTTGTTTTTCCAGTTGCCGCTGTTAAGCCCTGCTACATGAAAAGCTTAAGCCTTGGATTTTTTTTTTGCTTTGAACTTTCTCCGTTTATTTTCAAGGACAATGTCTAGAAGTTTGGAATCAAAAATAATGATTAAATTTTTCATGATCCCTTCTCCATCCCCCCTGTTTCCCTTAGGGTAATATATACTTAAGTTTCTGCTACTGTAATCTCAACAAATCCTGACCTTTTTTCTTTGCATCAATGAAATTTTTATGAAACTATCCCCCAGTAAAAACATCTCCTTTTTCTTTCTTGATGTAGCTTCAAATGCCGCTAACAAACCTTATCCGGTCTAATCGTTCACGGGAGTATGTAAATTGTCAATGACCTTCTGTAAGATTGCTGGTGACTTCTCACGAGTTAGCGGAGTCCGCCTAGCTGTAAAGTCACGGAACACTGGTATTTCAGTCAGAGTTTTGAATCCTGCTGGCTGGCTGCATGAGCGTTTTCGTAGTTTTCCCCATGTGTAATTTGTATGTGAGCCAGGAAAGTCTTCCATGAAGGCATCCCTCTCCCCCCCCCCCCCCCCTGAGGCTTTGCCGTGCTTCCTACACCAACCAACTCACTAATAAACTTGATGTTATAGCACTACATAAGGATAAAGGTTGAAACTTATCCAGGAACTATTTACAAGAGTACACTTGTGTTTTACATTGACCGAGTGCTCTTTTTTCGCCCGCCGGAGTCCCTAATATTCCCTGAAGTAATAGATATCTTCACACAACTGAAAGAAAAACACGACTTCGGCGTCTTCGTGTTATGATGCATGCGACTCAGCCTTCAAGTTCTGCCACCCGTGCGTTCCCTTTCAAGTAAATCACTCATATATCTATGCTACATATTGACAGGCCAATGTTTTTGGCATATTTTTGTATGGTAACAGGGATCATTTGGAATTAAAGTTGTGATGTAGATGATGTTTCTTTTAAGCAGTTTGCAAAAGATCTGTTTACTAATCAAATCATTAGCACTATAAAATTGTTTTCAGTTCCTTGCTTTATGCCTACTATGTATGAGTTGCTGATATCAGCTACTCATATTGCGAATGGTGTAAGTGAAGTACTACACTTACCTTGTTAATTTTAACAACTCCCCGACCACCTTGAGTTGCAAAGTATCGCACAATAAACGAACATGAAGGTAAAATAAAAGGGAATTCAGATTAGTTCCAAGCTTTTCAGCCATTAACTTACTGGTCACTTAATGCATGGCTGACATGGCTAACCCTGACAGAGAGTCGACGAAGCCACTTCGCATTCCCTTCAACGCAAAGCTTCGCTCCGACTCTTCCTCATTTGCCTCCTACAGATTTACTTACTAACTATTTGCGTCGGGGAGGAAAGTGGAAGTTTGACAGTACACGGTGAATAGTACTAACGGAAAGTATTTCTCCTCTTCCAGCAGCTGTTGTGGTGGTAGCCGCCCTGGCGCGTTTCGAGAGGTCAATTTATGTGTTCTTTTCTTAATCTGTGCGAAATAATATAACTTTAAATAAAGCCATAAAACCCACAAAGAAGGTTTCGTGAAATTCCTTTTCTAAATGCTGTTAAATTTGCTTCATTGAACGTTTTTGTATATCCTAATTATGGCCCTTCAATCTGTTTTTTAAGCGTTACGTAATCAAGTAAATCATATTCTTATTGAATAAAAGTTTTAAGTGCCAGATTTCTACAACGC